AAAACTAAGTAACGAAAGTTAGTGACAAAGTCTGTATATGAATCTAATTGCTTATTTAGGTTTAATTAGAATGTTGGAAACGAAATATGAGTTTAGTTACTTATTAGAACTTTCTCTTATTATAATTTTAAAGAGCTGTATTAGAGATATTAATATTTATGTGTAAATTTAATGATTTGTTCGATTCTTTTTCTTCTGTAGTAATTTAAAACGATAATATGTCAATTAATCAATTTTGTAATCTAATTTTTCATTATAAAAATAGATTTTAATTTAATAAGAAGTTAAAATATATTCTGTATAGAATCTTAAGCATAATACTATCATGATAAGCATTTAAGCATTGTGCAATCCTGCCGCCTGGCGGCGCTACTTGTATGTTAAGCGGAAAAAGCTTAGCTACTACGGAGCTAAACCGTAGGAAGACCGCGCCACTATTTTAATTTTTTACAAACGTAAATTAAGAGTTTTATGAATGTTTAATGTTCGAAATAATAAAGATAAGTTATCTCTACTGCCAGGAATGTTTAATTTTTTTTTTAGACGAGGGGGCAAACGAGCATGCGGCTCACCTGATGTTAAGTGACTATGATCAACCGCCGCCCACGATCAACCGCAACATTCACACCAGGGGAATTGCAGGTGCGTTGCCGGCCCTTTAGAAAGGAGTAAGCTCTTTTCTTGAAGGTCCCCAGGTCGTATCGGTCCGGAAAAATCGCCGGTGGTAAACTATTCCAAAGAGAGGTTGTACGCGAAAGAAAACTCCTTTTGAAACGTACTGTGGTGGACCGCCAAGCATCCAGATGGTGTGGATGGTATCGGGACGTTTGCCGCGTAGTGCGTTCACGAAATTTGGCGGCTGGGATTAATCCGAACAATTCCTCAGAGCACTCTCCATGGTACATGCGAAATAAAATGCGAAGAGATACAACATCTCTTCGCAGTGCCAGTGAATCGAGCCCATCGCAAAGCACTCGGTCGTCGACGATTCGAGCAGCTCTGCGCTGGATGCGGTCAAGTGGAAGGAGTTGGTACTAGGGGGCCCCAGCCCAGAGATGGGAACAGTATTCCATGTGCGGCCGAACCTGCGCCTTGTAAAGTCGCAGGCGGTGTGCCGGCATGAAATACTGTCCCGCTCTGATGAGCACGCCAAGCTTTTTTAGAGGCCAATTTGGCCTTCTCTTCCAAGTGACCACGAAACTGCACGTCACTCGATATGTCAACGCCGAGGATTCCGATACTGGTTGAGGCAACAAGGAGAGTGCCTTGAAACTGAGGAGATACGTGATTACGTGGTAGAGCCATGCTGCAATTATATTAGTAGTATAGTTGTAGCACGAATGGGTCGGCTCGACCGGGGAAGGACCACACTCTCACAGAATACCAGCGTGAAATAGTAGCTTAATGCTGCTGTATTTCGTATGGTGAGTGTAGAGAACCGGAGACCCTTTTTACTGGAAATGAGGCATTCCATCTCAGTCCTCACGGGTGACAACGCATCTGCATTTTGATTTGTAATGGAAGATAGATGTAGATGTCTATGGGCCGCAGCAACCACTTACCATCAGGTGGACTGTGTGCTCGTTTGTCACCCTATCCTATAAAAAAAAAAAAGATACGACAAAGGGGTTCTTTTTAGCGGTTAACGCGCAAACTTGTGTCTTCTGGGGGGGTTAAACTGGACTAGATTTCATCATCATCATTACAGCCCACGTAAAGTCCACTGCTGAACATAGGCCTCCCCCAAGTAATGCCACAAAGCACGGTCCTGAGCCACCTGCATCCATCGACTTCCTGCATGTCTTACCAGGTCGTCACTCCATCTAGTGGGGGGTCGCCCTACACTACGCCTACCGGCACGAGGCTGACACTCGAGAACCTTTCTTCCCCATCGGTTATCGGTTCTTCGAGCTATATGGCCGGCCCATTGCCACTTCAGCTTACTAATCCGTTGGGCTATGTCGGTCACTCTGGTTTTACTGCGGATATCCTCATTTCTGAGTCTATCACGCAGTGAAACTCCGAGCATAGCCCTCTCCATTGGTTGACAGTTGGCTCTTTCTGGCAGACAGATCTCTGGCAAAGACTTTGGAGCCCTGGTTCCGCTCGATCGCTTCTTTAATACGAGCAGTATTAAAGTTGCGTAAGTCTCGCCGCATCCATTTGGAGATCTGTCTGTTCCGTTGCCTGTATGCTGTCAAATCTGTTGACGATTGCAGCCTCATCACCCGTCTAACAGCCATGAGATTAAGACTATGATCGGAGAGTTTTTGTGTTCTTTTGCGGCGGGTCTTGCAGAACTTAGCTCCGACCGCATGGACAGTTTCCACGAGCTTGTCATTCATATCGTCCACTGCATTGCAATCCTCTAGGCACTGAAAGCGGTTTTGTAACTCGAGCTGAAAGGTTTCGGGATTCTGGATTAGAGCACGAGGGGGACGGAGCGTTGACTTCATTAGACGAGACCTCTCCAACTTAACATTTAGGTTCAGTGTGCCATTCTAACCATTCGGTAATCGCTGCCAGTTTTCACCCTTGCGATCACTGAGACATCACTGAACAGTTGGCGTCTGGTCGTCATAATGAAGTCAATCTCATTTTTTGTCGAACCGTCGGGGCTCGACCAGGTCCACTTCCTGTGGGGCCGCTTCTGGAAGAAAGAGTACATCATAAAGAGTCCCTCTTTATCCATAAATTCGGCCAGCTGCTGGCCTCTTCGGTTCCGTTGCCCTACTCCAAATTTCCCCACCTTCAGCTCACCGCTTTCTTTATGCCTAGTTTTGCGTTGAAGTCTCCCATCAACACCGTGTAGTGGGTTTTGGAGGAATGCATGGCTCTGGAAATATCCTCATACATTTCCTCCACCTCCTCATCGGGATGTGCCGAGGTTGGTGCGTAAAACTGTATGACCTTCAGCGAATACCGTTTGGTGATTCTGAGTATCAGGTACGCGACCCTCCTTGTGGACGATAAATCCGACACCTCCTTGGGACAGATGGTCGCCCTCCCGGTGGTAGAACAAGTTGCCGGACTCGAGGATTGCCGTATCCTCCCCCTCTCTTCGGACCTCGGATAATCCAATAATATGCCAGCGCAACTTGTCTACCTCTTCTTCCAGCTCCAGTATCTTCTCGTCAGTCCTCAAAGTGCGTGCGTTATATGTTGCCAGGTCGAGTCGTCGTAGGTGGCAACCGAACCTCCACCGGAGATTCTTAGCACCCCCTGCCCCGCCGTTAACATGATCGCCACCGTAGCCAGGAATAGCAGGGGACTGCCGTTTTTTTGCGTCGTTATTCATGGGGGGATATTTGCCATAGTTGCCACGCTTGGCGAGCGGGTTAGCAACCGCAGTTTTTTATTATAACACAGTTGTTATCAGAAAGATGCTGCTGCCCATCTCCTGCCTGTCTCCCTCTGTCGCCTCTTACGACACCCACGGGAAGATATGGGGTAGTGGATATTCTCAACCACCACTACACGGGACTAGATTTAGTCGCCCCCAATCTGAGACTCTGTTCAGCAAAGACTCGACTTCAGACACAAGTTTGTCCCGGCACTCGGACACGTTTTCCCGAGAAATATTGGCTCGGCCGGTGTAAAGAGCATCACCAGTGTTGTCATCTGCATAGCAATGAATGTTACGGGTATGCAACACATCATTGATATGCAGAAGAAACAGCGTTGGCGATAGCACGCAGCCTTGTGGAACACCAGCTTTAATAGGCTTGCAATCGGAGCTTGCATCGTCTACAACGACTTTGATGCTCCGATCTGCAAGAAAGCTGGTGATCCAATCGCACAATTTCTCGGGAAGATCATAGGAAGGGAGCTTCGAAAGAAGCGCTTTGTGCCAAACCCGATCGAAGGCCTTCGCAATGTCCAAACTAACGGCCAATGCCTCCCCCCTTGGACTCTACTGTCTCCGCCCATCTATGAGTTAGGTAGACCAGAAGATCACCAGCTGACCGACTACAGCGAAAACCGTATTGGCGGTCACTTATCAGCTGGTGATCTTCAAGGTACCTCATTAGCTGGCAGTTTACAATAGACTCCATTGTTTTGAAGAACAAGGAGGTGATGGCGATAGGCCGGTAGTTGGACGGGTCTGAGCGATCGCCTTTTTTAGGGATCGGGTGGACGAAAGCCGTCTTCCATGATTTTGGGACTACGCCTAGGGAGTAGGAGTACCGGAAAAGACGCGTTAAAACCGGTGCCAACTCTGGAGCACACGTCCTCAGCACAATTGGGGGGGATTCCGTCAGGCCCACTCGACTTGTGGATTTCCAGGGAGAGGAGTGCTTTGCGAACCGAGCGCTGTGTAAACTGCACCTCCGGCATGGAGCACTCACACCGCGGGATGGTCGGCGGCGTACTCCCCCCGTCATCGAGAGTCGAGTTGGACGCAAAGAAAGAGCCTAGAAGATCGGCTTTCTCCTTTGCGGTATGGGCCAGTGAGTCGTCCTCCCTGTGCAGAGATGGAAGAGATGGCTGACAGAAATTCCCCTGGACAGCCTTGGCGAGAGACCAGAATGCACGGGTTCCAGAAGGAAGGCGAACTAGTTTCTCGCCAATTCTGCCTATATGCTCTGACTTTGCCTTGGCAATGACTCTTTTGAAGGACCTAGA